CAGGCTGAGCCACTGAGCCCGGTGAGCCAGCGTCTTTTAGCACAGGTGCCGTAGAGGCCTTACTCAGTACCCACCAGAGGCTGTCCCACCTTGACTTGCTACTGAATGGTTGTCCAGCCTGTAGGTTGGGCATCTTTTCTCTCCCTCACCGCCTCTGCTAACTTGTAGCTTCCTCTTCCTCCTCGTACTCACAGTTTCTGCTTCTGCTTAGCTCCAGCACACCTTGACCCTGTGCTAGACAACTTTAGCTCCTGGAATCTTCATGCCAGCTTTAGATCTGACTGGATGCTGCCACGTTCTCTTAGTATTTTTGTGGTCTCAATGAGAGAGAAGCTGATTCCCTGGCACCTCTTTTCTTTTGTTGACCTGCATGTGGATTGAAGACCCTTAGGCCAAGGGCTCACTGACTCAGTCTATCATTCTTGGCCTGCCTTTTTCAAGAATGTTTTAGGCTGGGTGTGGTGGCTCATGTCTGTCGTTCCAGCACTTTGGGAGGCTGACGTGAGAGGATTACTCGAGCCCAGAAATTTGTGACGAGCCTGGATAACATAGTGAGGCCTCATCTCTATGAAAAAATAAAAATAAAAAATAGTAGCTGGGCGTGGTGGCACGTGCTTGTCATCCCAGCTATTCAGGATGCTGAGGTGGAAGGATTGCCTGAGCCCAGGAGGTCAAAGCTAGTGAACCATGATTCTGCCACTGCACTCTAGCTGACAGAGTGAGATCATGACTCAAAAAAAAACCCAAACATGTTTTAATAACCCGAATGTCTTATGTTAACTGAAGTAAACCAGTCATAAAGGGCCACATATCATATGATTCTGATGATGTGAAATGCCCAGAACAGGCAGATCTCTATTTAGAGAAAGTAGATATAGTGGCTGCCTAGGACTGGGGACTGGAGTACAAGGGCTAAGGGCTCTGGAGCTTCTTTCCGGGTGATGAAATGTTCTAATACTGACTGTGGTGAAAGTTGCATACCTCTGTAAGCATACCAAAAGTACACAGAAATAGATGAAGTGAATGGCAAGTGAATTATTTCACTAAAGCTGTGTGGGAAAAAAAAAAGAGTACTTGGTAGGAGTAATTTTCTTTAGAGGGACGAAGGACATGGCAGACAAGCATCCTCCTTAATAGTTTATTTTGATAAATATTGCCATTTTTGTTTTCTTTTCTTTTGAGTTGAGGTCTCACTCTAGGCTGGAGTGCAGTGGCATGATCACAGCTCACAGCAGCCTCAAACTCCCAGGCTCACGTGATCCTCCCGCCTCAGCCTCCTAAGTAGCTAGGACACAGGTGCACCCCACCATACCTGGTTAATTTTTTGAATTTTTGTAGAGATGAGATTGTGCTACATTGTCCAGGCTGGTCCCAAACTCTTGGGCTTAAGTAATCCTCCTGCCCCAGACTTTCAAAGTGCTGGGATTACGGGCATGAATCACCATGCCTGCCCGATAAATGTCACCATTTTTAAACCTGTTTTGCCAAACCAAAACTAGAATTCATTCTGACATTCCCCTCTTTCCAATTAAGTGGTTACCTACTTGCTTGATTCCAGCTATTAGCATGCTAGTTGGGCCTCAGTCTGGATCAGGTGGCTTCCTCTGCTTTTATCATCTGAAACACGAACCTGGCCTTGTGGCAAGTCTCTGCTACTGGGCTCTCAACTACTTGGAGGCCTTTCCCCTCCACATCCTAGCATGCTCCCTGATACCATAACTACTTAAGAAGTTTTCTGAGGCTGGAAGCTATGGTTCACACCTGTAACCTGTAACCCCAGCACTTTGGGAGGCCAAGGTGCGAGGATTGCTTGAGCCCAGGAATTTGAGAACAGCCTGGGCAACATAGCAAGGCCTAATCTAAAAAAAAAAGAAGGAGGAGGAAGAGGTTGCTCCTGGCATGGCTGGCTGGCTGAGATGGAGTGGAGGGATGGATTATTGTCTTTCCCCATGACTACTGGCTTCTTTGAGAAATCCTGCCAGTGACATTAAGAGAGATGGCTCAACAGGAGAATGAATGAGGAATGAGTGGTGTGGTGCATGCCACCATTGCTACCTACTGAAAAATCGAAAACACAGATGATACCGATGCCATTTAGCCCATTACTATTGGAGCAATTATCTGTTGGAGCAGCTGGCAACCTTCAAGGACTCAATTCTGCTCACTGTGACTTGCATTGAGCTTCCCATGGGCCCTGAGGAATGCTACGTTCCTGAGGGTAAGGGCAGACCTAGGGCTTCTTCACACTATCTGGGTCAGTGTTTCCAGTTGTTTCTCTCCAGGGCCAAGCCCTTTGACCAAAAGATTTGGGGCAGGAGGAGGGCAAGAGGATGGGAGAAGGAGGAGAAGCAGGGAGAGGAATAGACTTCTCAGAACAGCGATCGATTTGAAATCTGCAACATCTTATTGATAAAAGTGAAGCCCAGACGGAAGGAAGCAGTTTGATATAGCGCACTATTTGAAAAAAACATGTGCATCTGTTTAGCACAATATACAACATAATGACAGCAATCTTCCCTGTTTGTATCTATTCATCTGATTATACACAGTAACAATTCTTTTGGTTACACATTTATTTACCCAGGGATTTTTTTAATGGATAATAAGTTAGTAAATCAGATAGCATGTGTTCTGGATAATACTTTAGTAAACTGTCTACCACACAAGACAGTTGCAATTCACGTTTTATATAATATCCAATGTTCCATTAATACACATAGCACAATGTGAGGCTATGAGCAGCTCTTCAAGAAGGACAAAGCAGATTTTAATGATTATTTAATACTGTTTGATCTAGACACATATTATGTTGAAAAGCTACAGATTTCAGTCCTGCAATGCACCACAGATGTAACGAGAAATGTAGATGTATTTGAAGTACAATCCAGTGGATTTCTTTTGATGCAGTTGCCATGGCTGTTTGTGCTAAAGTTTCTTGTCTTTGACCCAAGGATAGATACATTAGGAGCTTTTCCTGACTTTTTCTAAATCTGAAACCCAAGTCCTATATATTGTTTCATGTCAAAATAATGAACACCAAGGAAGAAAGAAAGAATAGTACTGTATTTAGCTTAAGCCATTGAACTATGATAATGAAAGTATTAATAGGACTTTCTACCTTTCTGAAGTGAAGATAGACATCAGCAAAATTTCTGGTTCTTTCCAGAATACCAAGTGGACCAGGTAGTCTTGAGGTTCAAGACTGTATTGACTGGGTGTAGTGACTCACGCCTGTAATCCAGCACTTTGGGAGGCCAAGGTGGGAGGATCTCTTCAGGCCAGGAGTTTAAGACCAGCTTGGGCAATGTAGCAAGACTCCATCTCTACAAAAAATAATAAAAATAAACCTGGCATGGTGGTACCTATAGTCCCAGGAGTTAGCGGCTGCAGTGAGCTAGGATTATGCCACTGGACTCCAGCCTGGGTGACAGAGTGAGAGCCCATCTCAAAAAAAGAAAGAAAGAAAAAAAGATTGGAATTGAAGACGGTGGAAGAGCACTGCTAAAAAGAAGAGCTCAATCCTTAACTCTTCACACTCTACTGGGCCAGGCTGCGGGGAAAGTGCATCAGCTACTGTTGCAAGGCCTGTATAACAACCATCTCTAGCAATACTCACTTGCAAAACATTCACGTTCTCTGTACCTCACATAGCTCACAGGGTTTCTCAAGGTCATTATGATGAGATCTGCTATAGTTTTAAGACTACATGATATACTAGTTGGGTGTGGTGGTGCACGCCTGTAGTTCCAGCTTCTTGGAAGGCTGAGATGAAAGGATCGCCTGAGCTCAGCAGGTCGAGGCTGCGGTGGCCATGAGCGTGCCAGCCTGGGTGATTGAGTGAGACTATGACTCAAAAAAAAAAAAAAAAAAAATTACATGATGTATCTTATTTCAAAGAAAATTCCTGTGTCAGATTCCCATTGCTTGCCACATTTGTAGTGAACTATTGGAAACATACATACATCAGGATCCTTAATATTCAATGAGTCCTGAATGAGGACCATTTGCAGGCATGCCCTGGCTGCTTCAAGGGTAGAATCTAAACGTTCAATCTGATCAGATACAGAAAACAGAAAGACCTTTCTATTTCCCTCATGGTGTGGCATGGGACAGTATCATTAAAGATGGACTTGTTGACTGGTGCTCAGACTTCACTTGTTCTTGCATAATGCTGCCAGACAGCTGGTTGACCTGGGATTCTTCATTTTTTCTTTTTGAATTGGGGTCTCTGTTCCCCAGGCTAGGGTGCAGTGGTATGATCACAGCTCATTACAGCTTTGATCTCCTGGGCTCGGGTGATCCTTCTGCCTCAGCCTCCTGAGTAGCTGGGATTACAGGCACTATGCCACTATGCCCCTCTGTTTTTTATTTCTTTGTAGCGATGAGGTCTTGCTATGTTGCCCAGGCTGGTCTTGAACTACTGGGCTCAAGCAATCCTTCAGCCTTAGCCTACCAAATGTTGGAATTACAGGTATGAGCCACCACATCCACTGGATTCCACAGTTTTTAAAAGGTCAATTCCTTGGGATAGAATAAAAGACACTGGCTATCTGAGCAACTTTCTTGAAATAATTTAGCAAAATTAAATTTGTTTCAGAAAATGCAAAAAAAAAAAAAAAAAAAAAAAGAAAAAAAAAGAAAGGAAAGGAAACTGGTCTAAATGAGTATCTATTTCCCAAGCATTTTTCACATATTTTCTTATCTAGTAGGTACAATTACCTTATGAAGTAGATATTATCATCTCCTGTCTCCAGATGGGGAAATAGTATAATTAGTCAGAGGCAGGACCACTGTCTGAATCCAGCACCAGCAGACTCCAAAGCTTGTGATGTTCGTACCAGTGCATCTTGAACTGCACAATAGCATTATCTGGGGGTTAAACATCCACTACTGATCCTGCTCCATTCCCAGAGGTTCTGATGTCATTAGTCTGGGCTGGGGCCAGGGCATCAGTATCTTTGTTTTTTTTCTAAAAGTCAGAAAACCAGATTTTTAAAAAAATTTCTAAATCTCTGCCACAAATTTCTAACGAGTACCGATAGTCACCTGCCACACTCGCACCAGGTTGTCTGTGTAGCCAGCAAACAGAGTCTGGCCGTCAGCAGACCAGGCCAGAGAGGTGCACTGGGGTGGCTCTGCCTTGCTGCTGGTACTGATGACTTCCTGCTTCAGCTCATCTACAATGATCTTGCCCTCCAAGTCCCAGATCTTGATGCTGGGGCCCGTGGCCGCACAGAGCCAGTAGCGGTTGGGGCTGAAGCACAGGGCGTTGATGATGTCCCCACCGTCCAGCGTGTACAGGTGCTTGCCCTCGTTGAGGTCCCACAGCATGGCCTGGCTGTCCTTGCCTCCAGAAGCACAGAGGGATCCATCTGGAGAGACCGTCACGGTGTTCAGGTCGCCCGTGTGGCCGATGTGGTTGGTCTTCAGCTTGCAGTTAGCCAGACTCCATACCTTGACCAGCTTGTCCCAGCCGCAGGAAACAATGATGGGGTTGCTGCTGTTGGGTGAAAAGAGGACACAAGACACCCACTCTGAGTGGATCTCATCCTGGACGGTGTATTTGCAGACACCCAGAGTGTTCCACAGCTTGATGGTTTTGTCTCGGGACCCGGAGCCGATCTGCCGGTTGTCAGAGGAGAAGGCCACGCTCAGCACATCCTTGGTGTGGCCCACACATCGTCGCGTGGCGGTGCCCATTGTGAGATCCCAGAGGCGCAGGGTCCCGTCCCAGGAGCCCGAGAGGGCAAACTGGCCGAAGGAGGAGATCACCACGCCGCTCACGAAGTGCGAGTGGCCCCTCAAGGCACGCTGGGGGCTGCCGTAGTCGGTCTCGTCCCTGGTGAGCTTCCACATGATGATGGTCTTGCTCGCGAGGCGGACAGGATCATGTCCGGGAACGGCGGGGTGGTCGCGATCTGCGTGACCCAGCCGTTGTGGCCCTTGAGGGTGCCACGAAGGGTCATCTGCTCTGTCGTGGTGGCGGCGAGTGCGAGCGTCGCCGCGGCGACGAGGATGGCACCGGATGGCTCACAGAGACGAGCACCACGACCGCACTCGCCGCGGCCCTGCGGAGAAAAAAAGGGGCATCAGTATCTTTAAGACGCTCACCCACCCAGGGATTCTAACAAACAGCCAGGTTGAGAACTACTGGATTCTTATATCGTACCACCCACAAAGTTACAACCCGCCATAAGGCACACACCTTCACCTGAATCACATATACTGTAATCAATGAATACCCTGCTCTCTATACTGCAGGCCATACAATAATAAGTGGACGTCCTTGAACGCAATTAATTATCGTGTTATAATAGGCTTTCTACAAAGCCTTTAAAATTTTTTTTTTAGAAACAGGGTCTTGCTCTGTCACCCAATCGTAGCTCACTGCAGCCTTGAACTCCTAGGCTTCAGTGATCCTCCTGCCTCAGCCTCCCTAGTAGCTGGGACTATAGGTATGTGTCACCAAGCCCAGCTAATTTTCTTTTTGGTTATAGATAAGGTCTCACTATGTTGTCCAGGCTGGTCTCAAACTAATGGCCTTAGCTGATCCTCACACCTTGAACTCCCAAAGTGCTAGGATTATAAGCATGAGCCATCACACCTGGCCCAATTCAACATCTTAAGCTGTTTTGAAGAAGTTCATTGAGCTGTATTCTGGTAGTGGTTATATTGTACCAAGACACTAAAGGAACTCAAGAAAGGCAGTGATCAAATGAAGCTGTATCTTTACAAGGTAAAAAATGGGGTTAAAGCTTAAAACTTGGATATTTTCCATGGTTAATTTCTTGTGTTCATTATTATGATCTCAAAACTCTGATTAGATTAGATTTTAAAATTTCAATAACTACAATCTAGCTCTTTGTTCTGGTGCTACACAGGCCCATTCTGTGGATGGAAATGGTAAAACCCAAGCCTAAGATTTGTTTTTTGTCTGTTTTTTTTTTGAGTTGGAGTCTCACTCCATAGCCCAGGCTGGAGTGCAGAGGTGTGCTCACAGCCACCCAGTGTTGACCTGCTGGACTCTGGTGATCCTTCCGCCTCAGCCTTCCAAGTAGTTGGAACTACAGGCTGTCAAGTTGCCCAGGCTGTTCTTGAACCCATGGGCTCAAGCAATCCCCTTACCTCGGCCTCCCAAAGTGCTGGGACTACAGGCTTGAGCCAACGCACCCGGCCAGTCTAAGATATTAAATGTGAACTTATACTTAAACCAGAATCAACATCTTTAAAGACATTTTCACTTTTTAGTCCCATGGGTACTTTCTTGTCACTTTTGGTCCCATGGGTACTTTCTTGTCATTGATTTTCCCCAAGGTTATTTATAAGACACAAAAATCGTAAAAACAACAACAACAAAACAAACAACAGCAACAACAACAAACAACACTCATCATCTAAGAGTTAAATTATGCAAGCGATATAGCTGTGGTTAGAAATATTATTGTTTGTTGGAGGAAATGCTTCAAAATGCTAACAGTTATCCTGTTGGTTAGTGGTATATGCAAAAAATACACAAACTAAGCCCCAAAACTTTTTTGAGATTCTTAAAACTGCTTATATCCATGGTCCTACTTATGATTCTTTCCAAAACAATGGCTCCGGGTCATTTTTCAGGAGATTTTTTCTTTTTCTTTCTTTAAACAAACAAACAAACAAAATCAATTTGCATTTTAGTTCAATGACTTGCTCTAATAAAAGTCTTTTATTTTAAACATATGGGAGTAGAGATTAAAAACATGAGCATTTTTGTTGAAAATCCTTTTTAAATGAACAAATATGTTTCAAAGCTCTCTCAGACCTGAATTTCTTTGAACTACTCTGTTTTATATATATAATTTTTTTTACCTGATTTTGAGTCTAGATTTCATTGAAAAAATAAACGCAGAAGCATTACGTGTGGTTTAACAAGGAAGAAAGTAAATGAAAATAAGGAGGCTTAATTCCAGCAAAAAGCTTTCAGTACCACATGGTGTATATATCAAGGACAGGTGCTGGTGCCAGAATGCCTGTGGTCGGTCCTAGTCACGTGACCTGGGCACATTACTTCACCTCATGTTCCTCAATTTTTTTCATCTACAAAATGGGACTAATATTTAACAATGTCCTAATAAAGTTGCTGTGAGGATGAAATAAGTTACTATATGTAAAGAGCTTGGACTACTACCTGGAAGTGCTCAGTACATGACAGTTCTCCTAAATAGAATGCATACTTTGGTCAGGGGCAGAGTTAGTAAAATTGGGCAAAGTCTAATGTGGGAAGTTTGCATTTTTTTTTGAGTTGGAGTCTCTGTCGCCCAGACTGGAGTGCAATGGCCGCTCCCGGCCACCACAGCCTCGACCTACTGGGCTCCGACAATCCTTCCGCCTCAGCCTTCCGAGTAGCTGGAACTACAGGTGTGCGCTACCACTCCTGGCTAGTTTTTTGATTTATTGTAGAGATGAGGTCTTGCCATGTTGCCCAGGCGGGTCTCGAATCCGCGGGCTCAGGCAGTCCACTCACCTCGGCCTCCCAAAGTGCGGGATTACAGGCAGAACCACTGAGCCCGGCCAGAAGTTTGCATTTTTTAAAGAAAAGTTTCTCTCTTGTTATTGAGTCTTTTCTCTGTCTCTCTTTCTCTCTTTCTTTCTTTTTTTGACAGGGTTCTCACTCTGTCACCCAGACTGGAGTGCAGTGGCTCAATTTCAGCTCACAGCAGCCTCAACCTCTGGACTCAGGAGAGCCTTCCACATCAGCCTCCTGAGTAACTGGGACTATAGGCATGCACCACCATGGTTGCCTAGTTTTTTTATTTGTTGTAGAGATAAGGTCCAGGCTGATCTCGAACTCCTGGGCTCAAGTAATACTACCGACTCGACTCGGCCTCCCAGAGTGTTGGGATTATAGGTGTGAGTCATCAAGTCCGGTCTTTGCCTAGGATTTCTCACCCCGTCTCAGCTTTAGGGTACTTCTTAGATCTCTATCAGTTTTTATTTAACTATATTGCATTAGATTGCAATACTTTCCAGCAAAATTAAATATTTGAATAAAAATTATCTTCAGATTCTATATGTTAGACCTTTGTCAGATATACACTTGGCAAATATTTTTTCCCAGTCTGTGTGCTGTCTCCCCGCTCTCTTGATGGTTTCTTTGGCTTTGCAGAAGCTTGCCAGTTTGGTGCAACTTATCTATCTTATCTCTTATGGCATGGGCACTTGGGGTTTTGATCAGAAATTGGTTACCAGTCTCAATTTCCATAACGGTATCTCCTGCATTTTCTAAAGTTCTTATAGTTTGAGGTTTTGCATTCAGGTCTTTGATTCATTTAGGGTTGATTTTTGTGTGTGGTGATAGGTGGGGTCTTGTTTTAATCTGGCATATGGTCAGTCAGTTTTCCCAGCACTATTCTCCTCTCTGTGGTTGATGGTGGAGCCTTTGTCAAAGATGAGTTGGTTGAGAAATTGAAGTTTTGCTTCTTGAATCTCTATTCTGTTCCATTGGTCTATGTGCCTGTTCTTGTACCAATAACAGGCTGTTTTGATTATTGTAGCTTTTTAATAAAGTTAAAAGTCTGTGAGTGTGATACCTCTTGTTTTGTTTTGTTTTTTCCTGAGGATTGTTTTGGCTATTTGTGGTCATTTATGTTTCCATATGAATTCCTGTATTATCATTTCCAGGTCTGAGCAGAATGCTGCTGATGATTTAATGGGTATTGCATTAAATTAAGGAACTCAAATGTGCCAAAAGAAAAAAACAAACAGCCCCGTTATAAAGTGGGCAAAAAATATGAATAGATATGTCTCAAAAGAAGACATACGAGCAGCCAACGGATACATGAAAAAATGGCTCAGCCTGTAATCCCACGCCTTGGGAGGCTGAGGTGAGTGAATTGCCTGAGCCCGCGGCTTCGAGACCCGCCTGGGCAACTTGGCAAGTCCTCATCTCTACAATAAATCAAAATGAGCCAGGCGTGGTAGCACGCGCCTGTAGTTCCAGCTACTTGGAAGGCTGAGGCAGAAGGATCGCTGGAGGCCAGCAGGTCGAGGCTGCGGTGGCCGGCACTGCACTCCAGTCTGGGTGACAGAGTGAGACTTCAACTCAAAAAAAAAAAAAAAAA